AGGGGGGGGGGGCAAGAGATAAGCAGAAGAATGAAAGTATTGAATACTGAACTCCATTTAAAAAGATTACCCTTTGTTTGCATAGACTATTCAAATTGTTATTAATTAAAGATAAATTAAAAGGAGTGTTCAATGAAGTTGATTCATTTTCCTTCATATAAACCTCTTAGAGAACATAATATTTTAACTAATTTTGATTAATGGTCTTCAATCTTTTGAAGTACTCCTTAAGAAAAATATGCGGCTCAGTCCAAATCAAAACGTACTAAAAGATATCTCATTATCAGAAGCATGCATGCAGATCAAGACAAGTCTGCAAATAGATCTTATAATATTCCAAATGTCTTGTTGAGAATTTTGTTCATCTTTGGCGTCAGCGTGACGTCAAATTGCTGCCGATTCGCCAAAAGTCTCTTCCTCACACTTTACGGTTCAAATCATTCCAATTCTGCTCTGTTGGAGACATGTTTGGCAAGAAAGTTGGCCAGTCCATGACGTTCATTTTATGACCTTCCATAAAGAGAAACTGTGCTGTTTGTTTAACCAAACACATGTTAGTAAAGCATAGTTTACTGTATTGTGATGAAACATACTCTTTTGAATAATAAAGATCGTGTATGGGTGTGTGGATTTTACAACAAGCATGTGTCTCCACGTGTTTATCTACAGTAAACAAAAGTGGGCTTGGGAGGCTTTGTGCACAAACTCCTCCCTTATTACCTAACCCTCACCTTTGAAACTTTACAGGTGTTCACAGAATCCATGTGGCTCGGACCTAACTTTAAAAAATCTACGCAAACTGCTTTCCTCGATTTTTCCAAAATGCTTAGTTTCATTCATAAGGAGTTCTAATCTTGGGAAAGTCTGTCTTCTAAGACGCCATTGTAAACAAGTGAGGTTTCCGTTCACTGGCCGTGCGCACTGTTTGCACACCTAAAAAATTCTGGAGTGTACAACCACGAAAGCGGAATAGAAAATCAATCTCTACATTTTCTATTAGATCTATATATTTGGCAACTTGGAAACACGTGTGTCACTTTTCTCTCAAGATTTACAGCTCCATTCCAGTAGAGTGTAAATATAGTTGGCCAATGACTTTCAATTGATGTTAATGCACCGACTATTCCTTTCATCGGAAGGAGGCCCAGCTAATATATTTATAAAATTGATATTATGTTAGACGTGTACAGCAATCCAGTAATTCAAAAACTCGTGTTATTATTATTATGAGTACTATTTTTTATTATCATTATTTCGATTATCATGACTATTTTTAAAAAATTATTATTATTATTATTATTATTATTATTATTATTATTATTATTATTATTATTATTATTATTATTATTATTATTATTATTATTATTATTATCATTATGTCTTCACTTTGCAGACCCTGAGTCACATCGTGGAACTATACAAAAGAGAATGTCCTCACCAACTGCTATCCCACAAACGCCAGATTCTGGAGAACGTGGCAGCTGCCTTGGACAGGAACAGGAAAGAGGGTCTTCAACAGAGCCAAGACCTCCTGGTTAACGTGACTTCCATCATGGAGGATCTCGAAGTCAGTTTTGAGCGCAAGTTGAGCGTTGTCAAAAGCCAGTTACTGGTGAGAACTTATCTTTGTTTAAGCTCCAATACTGACGAGTTAATTTTCCCCTAGAAGTGGTTACATTTATATGGAAGTGAAACTATAATTATGTACTGGTTCCCTGGTTGGTGGAGTGTGCGATATACTTATTGATGGATAATGAGATAAACTGGATAGTGGAGAATGTTTAAAATTGGCTGGATGACTAGGTGGGAAAATGTCAAATTGAGTCAGTGGCAAACTGGTCAACTAATTATGGATAAACTAAAAAACTTACTGCCTTGTTGCTTCCATTGCTTCTATGCGTCCTAAAATCACCCACCATGTAACTGTGGAACCTATTCACGTCGTCATTTCCAATAGCTGTCCACCAAACTCCCTCTCTGTTTATTACTCTTCAGTCCCAGTCGTGCGCCAGTGCTAAGGGTTTGGGTCCTCGGCCGGTGGTCCGTCTCTCTAGCGGTCAACTTGTAGTCTGTGACACGGTGACCGACCAAGGCGGCTGGATCGTGATACAGGTGAGTACAGGCCCCTGCAGTACAGGTGCGATCAACATTATTTTACAGTAATTCAGACTGATATAATACAGGACAGATGAACATTATCGTATAGTAATACATCCCGATTCACTACAGATAAATCAACTTTATCTTATTGTAGTAACAATGCGCTATGTTTTAGTGCCGGCCAAACTAATGACATTTTACTGCAAAATACACTGATATAATACAGGTAAGATATTGTAATGCAAGCTTGCACAATACAGTTATGGTCATCATAATTTTACGTTTATTCTGGCTGTTACAATTACGGGTGAGATTACCTTTATTTTGGTGGAATACAAGCTGATAGAATACAAGTGATAACACCATTGTTTTACTGCTCTATCTGCTGAGAGACTTTTCAAGTTGGGAAACTAAATCTCTGTACAGTATAATAATTTTTTAAAAACATAAGGACACGTATGGTTATAGTTTTTGCTACTCAATAAACAAAGGAAGGAAAGTGTGAAAGGAAAAATCCCAAGGTACAACAGATTTCAAATACGTCTGTCAGCTCACTGTGCTGTCATAAGATATTACGGGAAGCTTTATATTAACTATTCTTGTTTTAGAAGTCAAAAGCTTACCATGATTATTCAAACAATGGGATTTCGTATGCTTCATGATACTATACTTTAGACACTGACAAAATGTTCTGAATTGTCTACAGAGACGTGTTTCGGCGGACGTTGATTTTTTCCGTGGTTGGGCGGACTATAAGAACGGATTTGGTGACCTGTCTGGTAATTTTTGGTTCGGGCTAGAGAAAATCCACCAGTTGACAAGTCAGGCAAGTTATTTAGAACTTAATACAGTGGACTGTCCAAACACCTGACATCACGGGGACTTTGTTGTCTATGTCGATGTACGTGTTGTTACTATTGCTCCTCGTGATGTTAGTTTACTTTTGGAAAGACTCAATGTTTTCATTCTTCTTAAAATTGTATTAAATTGTCCAAGTTTACTTTCTCAAAGTTTTCTTCTCCATCCAATTTTGCTGGCTCTTTCGGATATGGATGTAACAACGGAACTCACTCTTAAATTACCTGATCGTTTTCTGAACGTGTGTTAAGTCCATATTTTGTAGTTGTCGACGTTGTGATAGTGGTAGAGAAGGTTCTGATGGTTGTAGTCACGGCAGTGATAAACGACAACTGTTTTATGTTGTGGCGGTGGAAGCAGGAGCAGTTCTTATAGATGGTGTCTTTCAATGTCTTTGTGATTGCTGATGTTTTTAAAATGTCTTTGTAATATTTCAATGTCATTGTTGTTGTTATTGCATTGTTATTGTTTATGTTTTTTAATGTCCTTGTTAACGGTGATATTTTTAATGTCAATGTTATTGGGAATGTTCTTTCTGGATGTCATACTTAATGTTGTTGTTTTAGTAGTTTTTATTTTACCGTAGTTTTTGCTCCTTTTCTTGTTTCTGTTGTTGAGGCTGTTGTTGTTATTAGTGTTTTTGTTGTTATTGTTTAACTGCTGCTGCTGTTCCCGTTTAACGTGTACCTAGGTAATTTTTTCGTCTTCAGGGATAAGGTAAGTATGCATCGTTGCCGCCATTTAGGTCCACCTCATACTTCCATCGCTCACAGATTACCGACTGTAAATATTCCGTATTCTTATATCCATTTCCTTGTTTTGAAACGAGATTCGTTACCGATGTTTTGTATTCCTTCTGTATTATCCGAAATAAAACTGCTCTATTAGACACATTTTAGGACAGATCTAAACCAAAAGACGTGGTCATCCTCTTGGACACCCAGCTGAGAGGAGATCTTTGGGAGGATCAATATGTAAAACTGACTCAGACTTGAACTTATTATTAGTCAAAGTTAAATTCATTTCCAAATGATTTTGCATGTCCTGAAACCTTGTGTATCTGCAGGTTGCTTCAATTGTCCTCACGTTCTCATCACCAGGAGAGATACGAACTAAGGTTCGATTTGAGATTCCAGGGAAAAAACTACTACGCCAGCTACGACACCTTTTCGCTGTCTGGAGAAACAGACAATTACAAAATTCAACTTTCCGGATTTTCGGGTAATGTAACTGGGGACAACATGTCTTATCACAATGGGGCGGAGTTTTCAACCAAAGACCGTGACAACGACTTATGGCATCGAAACTGTGCCAGCGTCCACCACGGGGCTTGGTGGTACAGGGTCTGCCGTCAAGTGAACCTCAACGGACTGTGGGGCAGTACAGGAGGCCCAAAAGGCTTGAGTTGGCGCAGCGTAACCCTTGGTTCTGTCTCCTTCAGCGAAATGAAAATTCGACCATTTGCTAAATGACAGCTTCATTACACGGAATCATCCGTCTGTTAATGTATTTAGATGTTTGCATTTCTTTTTGTTAGAGGTTTTGGAGAAGCACAGCGATAAAAATTCCACAGTCTCAGAAATTTAAACGCTCTGTTGTTTTGTCGTGTAATGTCATGACATTTATTGATAGACAAGGGGAAAAAACTGATAATGGTACTAAAACAGTATTAATTGTACTTTACACAGTATCTTTTTGACCAGAAATTTCTCTATTGCACATTACAACTCATGCACACACTTTTTGAACACGTGCAAAAATATTCCACATATTATGCACATTGCACAGATACACGAACACATGTTTCAGTGAATTGAGAGGGTGAATTTTTTTTTCAAAAGATTTGAATAAATTCAAAGTTTTCGAGTTTTTCGTGAATTTCTCCAAGATATTTAAGGTATTAACATCTTTTTGACCATCGTGTTTAGAAAAATTATACTAAAATATAACTGTACTGTGTAATTGAGACATCTATTACATAATAATCAAAAATGGCCATCTAAATTTTTTTAAAATTATTATTGTTACCTCATAATGTCAGTGGGATGATATTAAGGTTTTTTCAACGTTCAAGATACAACGAATCTACGTGACCATTCGAAGCACAGTTATGTTGTTAGGCTAGACAGTAGGCCAAACTTCATGCAAATTTATTCCTAAACAAATGCTTGCTGTACCGATTTCAAGCCAAAAAAAATCAGAGAATAAAAAAACTATATATAT